GTGGGCAAACCTGCAAAATCAGCAAGGGGTCAAATACTTATTTCCCCACTGTATATAGGGATATACAATAGTTGAATAAAATGAGACATTTTTTGGTGAATATAATTTATATTCTGGATGGGAGCGTTACCCTCCAGGTCATCGATGGTTTTCTCCAGCTTGGCTACGGATCTCTCAGCAAACTCAGCTCGCGTCTCAGCCTGAGATGGAAAACAAATAAAACCTGTTAAAAAACCGGTTGAACCAGAAAAGTCTGAGCCATGAGATCACCGTTTTAAGCTAATTCCAGACATACTTTAAGGCCTCTGCTGCCTCATAATCAGTGTTGGGTAAGTTACTTTAAAAATGTAATCCGTTACAGTTATAAGTTACCTTGTTTAAAATGTAATTGTAGTGTAACTTTTTCTATTACTTTTAAAAAGTAATGTAACTAATTACTTTTTATTACTTTTTGATTACTTTAAGGTTTTAATGAGTATTAACCCATGATTAATTTTAGCATGCTATTATTAGCTATTGGCCGCAGCTAGCAGTTCAAGGCTAACGTCTTGTTAATGATCATAAACAACGTAAATAAATACATAAATAAATAAATAAATCGGAGACAAGGAGCGCAGCGACGGCAGGTCAGTCGTATCCAGATACAACATTTTAGTATCTATACTTTTTTAAGTATCGATACTTTTGACAACCCTAGTCTGAAATGTAGGACATGTCCGGGAAAAAGAGGACGTCTGGTCACCCTACAGTTGGGTATGCTATGCTAGGCTAGGCTAGGCTAGGTCAAAGACATCGATAAACGTTTGTCATGCATCAACTATTAATAAATCAAATATTAGTAAATCAATACGCTTCGTCTATCAGTGAGTTGCATATTTCGCAAAGGTTTTTCTTTATATTTAAAAAAAAAAGTAACTAAATTAGTAACTCTTAATATTTTCGGAAGTAACTGTAACTGAATTACATATTTTCTCATTGTAACTGTAACGAATTACAGTTACTCTTTTTTTGTAATTAAATTACGTAACGTCGTTACATGTAATCCGTTACTCCCCAACACTGCTCATAATACATTCTATTCTATATAATCTGTTCACGGCACCTTCTAC